TTCAGGTGTCCATACAGCTGAACTTGCTTTCTTTTTCTCCATTTCTTGCCGCTTTTTCTCCTCCTATTCAAACGAAAAACATTAAAATTATATTTATATTATATTATTCACAGAAAAAAATATTATTTTATGCAAAAAAAATACGCGAAAACGCACACTTATACAATAGATACACCGATGCAGAAACATGAACTGCAAATCATGCTCACGCTGCAGCAGCAACAACTAAAACAGCAGCAGCAGCAGCAGCAGCAGCAGCAGCAGCAGCGAGCATTGCATCACGAACAGCAGAGCAGCAGGAGAAGGAAAAGAGCAGCAGCAGCAGCAGCAGCAGCAGCACATCACCATCATAATGAGTAGCAGCAGCAGCAGCAAGACCAGACCTGCATCCGCTGCACTTGTTGCTCAGCAGCTTTTTCTTTTTGCATTTTTTCTTTTTTTATTTCCTCCCATCTTTTTGCGTATAAACATAAAACAACATTTCGCTGCTCTTTTGTTGCTTCCATCTTCTCAGGCAGCGCCGGGGGGTCACCAGCCTCGTCCTCAGTGGGCCCCTGCACAGCCACGCATACACTCCACGCCTCTTACAACACAGCAGCAGCAGCGGCAGCAGCAGCAGCAGCTGTTGCTGCTGCTGCTGCTGCAGAAATTTCAGCAGCAGGACTAGCAGCTGTAGTGGTACTAGCAGATGCAGTAGCAGCAGCAGCAGCTGCAGCAGTAGTAGTAGCAGCAGCACCAGTAAGAGCTGCTGCGGCAGCAGGAATAACAGCAGCAGAAGCAGTAGCAGCAGCAGCAGCAGCAGCAGCAGCAGCAAGTGTGGTTTTTGCTGCTGACGTGTAGATGGAGTTCTTGGTGTGCTTTGCCTAGGATTTGTTTCAATTCATCTAACGCCAGTGCTGCGCTCAGCTCCTGCAGCTGCAGCGGGCTCAGCAGCTCCTCTTCTTTCTCCCCCTCACTCATTCCTCTGTACAGCCAGCGAAAGCTCTGGCGCCTGCAGCAGCAGCAGCAGCAGCAGCAGCAACAGCAGCAGCAGAGGTTTGGGCGTTAGTAGCAGGTTGCTGCTGCAGTGTTGGGTGCAGCTGCATGCAATGAGATGCAGAGAGAGATAAGTAAACAGAAAAAAATAATAAATCAATAATAAAAAATAAAACAAACCTAGACCCTAAACCCTAAACCCTAAACCCTAAACCCTAAAGAGAAAAAAAAAACAAAATATAAAACCACCAAAACCCCACCACTTCTTTAGTGTCGCCCGCTCTTGCTGCTGCTGCTTCAGCAGCCTTTCTGCTGCTTCTTCTTTGCGGCGCGCCTCCTCTTCCTCCTGACGCCTGAACGCATGCAGCAGCAGCAGCAGCAGCAGCAGAAGCAGCAGCAGCATGAGACAATAGAAGCAAATACAAAACGAAAGAACAGAGGGAGAGAATGAAGCTGCTGCTGTTGCAGCAGCAGAGAGAAAAGATAAAAAAAAATAAAAAAAAAATAAAAATAAAAAATATAAAATATATTGGCGTTTACTTTTTTTCTTCTGCTGCCTTTCTCTCTTCTTCTTTGGCTCTGAGTTGTGCTGCTTTCTCTTCTTCTTTTTTTTTCTTTTCTTCTTCCTTCTGCAGCTTTATACGCGGATCCCTGTGTACATACACCGCAGCATGAAGCTTATAACATATGCACAGACAAATACCAATTCTTCCTTTGCTGCTGCTGCTGCAGTTGCTGCTGCTGCTGCTGCTGCTGCTGCTGTAGTTGGTTCTGCTGCAGTTGCTGCTGCTGCAGTTGCTGTTGCTGCTGCTGCTGCTGCTGCTGCTCACATTGCATGCGCTGTTTCGACGAGTTTCTGAATGCGGGCCATTTCGTTTTTTGTGTATTTCTTTTTTGTTCTCGCGTTTGCTCTCTCCATCCATCTAAACAAATAAAAAATAAAAAAATAAAAATAAAAATAAATAAATAAATAAATAAATAAATAAATAACGAAGTGGCAGTAAGACAGCGCAGAGTTCTTAACACTTATGCTGCTTCAACTGCTGCTGCTGCTGCTCGTGC